TTAGACTTCCTCCCTGAGTATCATTGGCTCTTGATCATATGCTACCTCTTGAAATGGTTGAACCTTAACCATTTTCTTTTGGTACAATGACTCTGTGTATGCCTTCCATCTTTTCTTGATGCATTCTGCATCATTCAATAATTTCCCCAGAGAATCTTTGAATACTGAAAGTTGAGGCTTGAATTTTTTCTTCAGTTCCTCCAGCTTGAGAAATGCTGAGCGTGTTCTTCCTTTCTGGTTTTCTGATTCCAAGTCTTTGCAAATTTTATTATAGTATTCGGCTTTATCTTCTCGAGCTGATCTTTGAAATTTTCTGTTCAGCTCTTGGACCTCCTCTTTTCTTCCATTTGCTTTAGCATCTCTACACTGGAGAGCAAGTTTCTTCTGATATCCATTTTGACCTTTTCCTTCTTTTTTGCTCTCTTCACTTATGATGTTCTTGATGTCATCCCACAACTCTTCTGGTCTTTGGTTTTTAGTGTTTAATGTATCAAATCTGTTCTTCAGATGATATCTAAATTCAGGTGGGATAAATTCAAGGTCATATTTTGGCTCTTGTTGACTTGTTTTCATTTTCTTCAAGATGGCAGATCGGTTAGACGTGCAATGAGGAACTCCGTCAAGAATAATACAGAATACCGGGCCAAGCAGGCCCAGGGGATGGGGATGGAACTCTGAAACACATATAAAGGAATATTTGGAGGATTGGAGAGCTTACAGCTAGGGAATTTATAGGAGAATCAAGAAATCCATTGTTTTCTAATTCAAGATGCTCAGCTATTACCGGAGCCACCATCTTGGGAGAGAACATCTTGATTGTATCAGGATTGATATTGAAATTAAAGTGACAATTTTGACATAAAACCAAATGGCCACCACTCGTCTGTCTGTCATGCTGTGGTGGCTTGAGTTGCTGTGATTCAGAGGGCTATACCACTGGTATTTTAAATAACCAGCAGGGTCACCCATGGTGGACAGGTTTCAGATGAGCTTTCAGACAAAGACAGACTAGGAATAAAGAGTTATGAACTACTTCCGAATTGTTAGTCACTGAAAACCTTATGAATAGCAGAGAATTAATCCATACCTATCAATAATTACATTGAATGTAAATGGATTAAATGAACCAGTTAAGAGATGGAGGGTAGCAGAGTGGATGAGAAAACAAGATCCTTCAATATGGTGACTGCAAGCGACACATTTATACACAGAGACAAAAACATATTAAAAACTAAAGGATGGGGAGAAAATATACCAAGCTAATTGTAATAAAAAATGAACAGAAGTGGCAGTACTAATCTCTGATAAAATAAACTGTAAGGCAAAAGCCAGCATAATAGATAAAGATGGACATTATCTCATGATTAAAGGGACAATTGAACAAGATGACATAGCCATAATAAATATCTATGCTTCCAATGAAAGAGCTCCAAAATATATAAAGCAAACTTTAATAGCTTTGAAGAAAGAAATAGATGAATCTACAATGATAGTGTTGTTGTTGTTATGTGCCGTGGAGTTGGTTCCAACTCATAGTGACCCTGTATGGTAGTAGGCGATTTTAATGCTCTGCTTTTAAAAAATGGATAGAATAAACAGAAAGAAATCTGACAAAGACTCAGCGGACCTAAACAACACAATCAACCAACTGGAACTCATAGATCTGTACAGAGCATTCAACCCAACAACAGCACAATACACATTCCTTTCCAGTGCACATGCAACATTACCCAGAATAGACAACATGTTACGCCACAAAACAAATCTCCATAAAATTACAAATATCAAATTACTACAAAGCATCTTCTCAGACCACAATGCTATCAAATCAGAAATCAACAATAGGAAGACCAAGGAAATAAGGTCAAATACATGGAAACTGAATAACACCCTGCTGAAAAGTGACTGGGTAGTAGAAGAAATAAAACATGAATTCACAAAATTCATAGAAACCAATCAGAATAAAAATATAACATACCAAAATCTTTGGGACACGGCAAAAGTGGTGCTGAGATGACAATTTATTGCCATAAATACATATATCCAAAAAGAAGAAATAACTAAAATTAACACATTAACACAGCATCTACAACAATTAAAAACTGACTAACAGAAGGAGCCTACTACAGTCACTAAAAGAAAAGAAATAATAAACTTAGAGCAGAAATAAATGAGGTAGGAAACAGAAAAACTATAGAGAGAATCAACAGGACAAGAAACTGGTTCTTTGAAAGGATTAACAAAATTGACAAACCACTGGCAAAGCTAACAAAACAAAAGAGGGTGGTGGTGGTGGTGGCTGTGTGCCATGGAGTCAGTTCTGACTCATAGCGACCCTGTACAGGGTTTCCGAGGCTATAAATCTTTATGGGAGCAGAACGCCTCATCTTTCTCCCATGGAACAGCTGGTAGTTTCAAACTGCTGACC